GGGCATATAAAGCGCTGGTGATTAAAAAATATAATGAAATTCTAATTAATCTAAAATAATAAGAGAAAGAACAAGCATAAAAAAAATAAGTCTTAAAGTTAATCAGCCTTAAAGTCTTTGAGATCTGAGGGGTGCCTGACCTACCAGGAATAAGAATTTCTTATCTACGTTCCAAGGACTAAATTTCAAAGAAGTGCTGAGCTTGATTTATTTGCAGATAGAGAATTTGGCAAGGATCATGGTTTCTGGATGAAGAGTGTGTTTTAGAGAAACCAGGGTTTTTATGTCCAGTTTTAAGCCAAACTTTAAAAAGCTTTCTAAATAAAGATCTCTCAAATAAAGCTAGCAGGTATGCACTTATTATTTCATTTAATCATTAATAAAATGTTATTCCTTCCATTATGGTAATTTGGTAATAAATAAAGTATGCCCAAGAAATAGATTTATTTTAGTGCACAGTATAAAGTTGTATGAGTGGCAGAACTAGATTTAACCATAAAACCACAAAGCTCAAGGTGTCCTCTAAACTGATCTACCTAGTTCCCCCCCTCCATTTTCTAGAGCAGGGGTAGGCAATGTTTTTTGACTGGAGTGCTGAAAAACACCAAAAGGCCACTCCAGCCAGGGACTACTTAGTTTGCCTATGGCCCTGACTTCCTACAGCTAAGAGTAAACATTTATTTTAATCTAAGTCAACTTAATTTCTCTCTTATACTATAACAACTCCATTTATTTTAGCTAACACACTGCAGCAGGCATTTGATCAATTGAATACACAAAAAGCCTGATTTTTTAGAGGTGTGCTGTGCTGACCATCCAATTGCTATCAATTTTAGACAGAGCTTTGAGCCTTAAGCAATTCTGAAAATCTGCCCTACCTCTTGCTTGCACTCTGGGTAGGGAAGGGCTACTTTTCTACAGTATTAGTACATTTTAAACATATAATCCCTCGCCAGATTTCAATTAGAAAACAGCCTACTTAGTTGAATACTATGAATGGACTTGCAGAAAGAAATGATTAAAAACAAAGAGGAACTACATTTTAACCCCTTTCTTCCTGTACATCTATTCATAGTATCTGATTAAATGAGCTGCTGCTTACAGAAGCTCATGCTTCTAACTCAGTTTCTCTAAGGCGCCATCCTGCCGTAGTCTCTGCCTGACTTTGGACTAACACAACTAACCACCTCTCTACTTATGTGTATACAGTGGCACCTCTGAATTTGCCCAGAACTGTCCTGGTCTTAGAAGCCAAGTACCTGTCTCCCACTTTCCTAGGACCAGGATGCAGAAACTAGGAGCTCCACTACCCAAATATAGATGTTCGGAAAGACTTTCACCAGTACCTGTAGCCCCATGAACTTTTTGCTGCCAAGTGGTTCAGCTTCAACAGGAGTAGAAAGCACCACTACCCAGTGTAGCCTGTAGTCTAGCAGATAGGGCATTTCCCTGGACATTGGAATCCTCACAGCCTAGGGACCAAGTTTCCTACCTCCTGGTGCTGTAACCATTATGTATGTATAAAATTAGCACTGCCATCCTCTCCTGTTCCTGTCACATTAAAAAAAAAAAAGGAATGGTCCTTTTTTTAAAAGACTAGGGAATCAATTTCAGGGAATCAATTTTCAGCAAAGGATTCTGGGCTCAGGATTTCAAGTTGTAGGCATCAGCAAGCCCCTCAGCTCCAGAGAAGAGTGGGGGTTCAAGCACAATCCTGTGCTTAGTGTTTCCTACTGACTTCCTCTAGGTGGCTCTCTGCTCAGCATAAGGATGTTTTGGATTCTCTTTTGCACGGACTTCAGACCAACATGGCTAACTGCCTGTCCATGTCTTGGATTGTCATTGAGATGTGCAGCTCTCCTTATGCAACGTGTCAGGAGCCCACAAACCTAATAGAAGGCTTTGGATTCCAATCCAGGGCCAGCCACATAAAAGCTATGTAGTGCGGTGCTTAACTTGTAGGCACCACAAGTTAAGGATTGGAAATAATTCTTCTTTATCATGCCAAGGCTCAAAACAGTATTGTCATAGAATCAATTAGTCCATGATATCTTAATTACAGGCAATTCAATATTGACAGTAGGGGATAGCCTCAGGGCTTGCTAACTCCAAACCACAGTTTGCAAAGCAGAAAAGAGAGAGGTTCAGAACCCTACATCTGAAAAGCCTAAACCAGTGGAGGCCAATCTTTTTGGCAGGCATGCAGTCAATTAGTTTCATACCTTCCCTGAGTACCACTCCAACCCCCTTCCCCTGCCCAATTTGCTGGTCTTCTTTCTGTTCCTTGACTGGTCTACTGATCTGCTTTCTTCCCCCTGCTCCATTTTCTGCTTTGTTTTTCTGCTCCCTCCCTGATCTGCCAGGTGCCACAAACAGAAACCATGTGTATCAGTTGCAGCATCTCTGTCACAGGTTGGCCCCCTCTTGCCTATACCCTGGTGATTAGGTACACCTCAAAGAATTATTCACAGTGCAAAATTTCACAGGAACATAATTCCCTACGGTATAATTAGGCCATTTTCAAGGGAGATGGAAGATGTCAGTTTGAATCCCTGCAGGTGTTCGAAGGATCTCCCACATTCTTTGCATCATTTCACTAGGGCATGGGTTTTCAACCTTTTTTGATCAGTGTACTCCCAGGCGGCCAGATGCAGAGCAATGTACCCTCAGCTGCTGAGTGTGTCCATGTGTGGGGGGCGGGTGCTGGATGTGGTGTAACAGCAGCTGCCGTGTGCAAGCTGCCCCTGTCCTGTGTCTGGCTGGGTGTGTGGCACCTGCACAGCAGCACGGGGTGGTGTGTGGTGGTGCTCCATCCCCACCGGCCCACGCATACCCCCTAAGGCTTTCTCAAGTACCATCAGGGGTATGCATACCCCTGGTTGACAACCCCTGTGCTAGGAGATAAACGGAAACTGGAGAGCACTGCTGCTGCCTGTTTCAAAAGAAAAATTAATCCCACTTAGATCTTCACAGAAAAACCACTGTCAGAGCTCTTCACAAGACCCATCAGGCTGTCAGTTCCAAGAGGCAACACTGTAGAGGTGGGTCACTTCCCCCACTGGCAACTTGGGGCTCAGCAACTTCTGCACAACCTTAGCCACTGCACTGGGGGGAGGGGCGGGGGGGCAACATTTCTGGCAGGTGTGCCACGAATTAGCCCTGCATCCTCCCCCCGCGTAGCTCCAACCCCGGTCCCCTTCCCCCTCTGCTGCTCCACCTGCTCCCTGCCCTCTGCTTGACCGGCTGCTCTGCCTGCTGCCCCCGCCCCCTGCACCTGGTTGACGTCCCACAGAACGAGGCAGCAGCAGCGCTGGGCGAACTCCAGCGCCGTGGCGCGGCCGAGGCCGTGGCCGGCGCCCGTGACAAGCACGGTCTCGCCCTGCACCGATTTGGGGCGCGAAGGCAGCAGCAGCCGGGCCAGCGCCTCCAGGTAGGACAGGAGCAGCAGGGGCAGCAGCCCCAGCAGCTCCAGAGCCGCGTGCATCCTACAGCCACTCTACGCCAGGTCCGTGCCCCTGCCACAACCCCACCCCAAGCCCGCGGAAGGGGTGGAGTGGCCCTCGGGAAAGCCCAGCCCGTGCGCGTGGCCCCACCCCCCCGTGCGAGGCCGCAGCTCACGCTTCTGATAGGGCGCATTGCTCCCGCCCCCTCCCTCAGCGAGTGTGAGGAGCGTAGCCAATCGGGAGGCGCCCCCGCCCCGACGTCACAGTTGTTGGAGTGCTCGCGCTTGTGGTCGTGAGAGAGCCCGCGGTTTGGTAACCGGCGCTCGCGTCACCGGCGGGCAGGAAAGAGCGAAGCCGTTCGAGGGTGGGGGTAGGTGACACAGCGACCCAATCATCAGCTGCCGGAAGCGACAGGGCCCAATCGGGTGGTGGATGGGGAGTGATTGACACGGCGGTTGCCCTATCACCAGCCGCCTCCCGCAGAGGGGGGCGGGGTGCTGCAGCGTTGGTGTCTGCGGGAGGTCTGAGTTGGGAGGTGGCCCGGGGTGGTAAGCGGCCGCCCGCGGGGGGGCGGGGAAGGGGTCATCTTCCCTCTCTTGGTGGGGGAAGCGCCCACTTCAAGCTCCTGGTG